AGTCACTGGGATGGCTGCTGTTCCTGAGCCCCTGAGTGTCCCAAGCTCTCTGAGGAAGAGAAAGTCTGCCATTAGAGACTCAGTATGACCATTTTCCCAAAAGGGAACGGGTGCTGGGAATGTAAATAAAACTCCCAAATGATTCAAGTGAAGGAGAGTTCATCTGAGTTAACCACTAACAGTGAAGTGGTTTTGCTGTCTCTGACTGTTATAAACCTATCAGTCAACAAACCTCTGCCATCTGAATATGCTACATCATTTGAATTTCTACTCCGGATACTTTCTTCAGCTATTTTCTTTTCTCTGCTAAATCTTCATGATTTACCCCCCAAGCACAAACAGCAAGTGGAGAGAAAAGGAGGATAAATTGGAAAAGCACAGGGAGAGGCCAGGAGCTAGGGGACTGTCACTTGGAAAGCATGTTCTTTCCATCGGACTGACACATTATAGGCACGGATCCCACATTCACTGGTGTAAGTGGAACCATCTGTGCCACAGATCTGCTCCAGTGCTTGGTCAGGGGGCCATGACTGGCCATGCTCAGCAATGGCCTTGGGGCATGGGCTGCAGCTCAGCTTTAAAGGGAACAGTGAAAATGGGCTTAAAGCAGTACATCAAACATTCCTTATTCTTCAGGAGGCTTGTACAAAATTAATGTTTTACTTCTATCAATGAAAAATGGGCAGGAAGGAATACACTGCATAAACGCTTTTTCTTTGCAGATTCACAGTATGTTTAAATTTATGGGGCCTCACCTCAGCTGGTGAAAATCTGGAAACCCCTCCTGGGCTGTGTGGATGTCTGCCAGCTGGAGACAGGCTCCTTCTACTACTGCTTTCTGCTTTGTTCCTATCTACTCGCTGATCCGTGGAGAGCAGGCAACCAGAGCCCAGGGCATGGCAAAGAATCAAATAAAACTGTATCAAACATTAAATTACAACAAGAGAATGAACATTTCTGAGTGTGAACATATTGATGGATGAAATGGCTTCATACCAGAATTACACCCCTTTAAACGTAGAGGTCCGAGGAAATTTTTTCAGTTCCTAAGTTATTTTCTTTGCTAACAGCCAGTTGAATAGACCTGTGCAACTGATACAATGAGTTTGAATAATTATTTCTGGATTTTTTTTTTTTTGAGGAACATATGGTTATAAAAGTGCTTTAAAAATCATTTAAATATTCTTCTGAAATGAATATTTAAAAATCAGTGGGATGAGCCTTGTCACTCTCTCACATCCCTCAAGAGAATGACAGAGTGTCTAGGCCCATCTACATGCCTCTAGAAAATGCAGCACATGAAAAAAAAAAAAGATAAACCAAGGGAAATTATCAGCAGACATCATTTTGAAAGGCATAGATGTTTTGATAAAGTTTTTGAATGAAGTTTGGGTGCAGACACACTCAAGGAAAAGTTGTGGGGTTTGTTTTTCAAGTCACAGATGGGTAAGTGCTGATAAAAGGTGAAAAAAAAAATACCTCTGCTCAATATGAAAAGACTAAGTATTGTTTTCTACGTTCCACTTATCAATCAAAATTTAAATGACTCACCTCATTCTTCTCCCTCTTTGTTTTGTAAGAAAAATTACTGTAGACTCAGAAAACACTGATAATGCTATAAAGATAAGTCAGACAAACAAGGAAAGGGAGAGGGCATTTATATTTTTAAAATACTGCCTCTGTGATATGTACTGGTACATTTACAGGTCACAAATCCTGAGGCTGGACTGCCACCAGTGTGAAACACGTCAAAGTTTGTCAACCCTTGGCACAGCTCAGCCGCTCTGTCCCCAGCTCCAGAGCCAAGGGCTGCAGCCTGTGGAGTGGGACCAGCTGCATTTCAGCACTAAATTTTAGATGCCTGGTGTTGCAACTGTATGCAAACATGACTGGAAAGTCATTTTTTTCCTTGCTGCATCCTTGACTGAGGATATTAAGCTACTTCCATTCATGGCAAAAGTGCAAAAATAAGAGTCCACTGAAGCAGGACTAAAACCATGTTTGCTTCTGATTCTTTCAGTGTCTCTCTCCAAGCTAAAACCCAAGCTTTCCTAGCATAACTGTTGAGTGGTTTTTGAGAGAAACCTGAGCATTTTGAAGCTGCTCGGGCTTTTGCTCAAGGCGAGTAAGAAAGTCAGCCTCAGGGCTCTGCAGCATTGTGCCCCCGAGCAGAGATGGAGCAGCAGGCTGAGCAGCACCAGAGTGTCTGTCACCTACACCCTGGAGATGGTTACTGAGTATATTTGCAGTCTGGTAAGCACTGAGTTCATGAGATGATTGGGGACCCTGCTTGAGCAGAGAGGTTGGACTAGATGACCTCCAGTGATCCTTCCCGTTCTGTGATTCTGTGATTTCTTGCTGTTCCCCACCACAGTAACCTCTATCTAACCATCTATCCAACATTCCTTTATCTATGGCCAAGTAAGCACCCAATTCAGTGAACTGTATCCTGAACCACCTTCCAAGTCTGTTAGTGACACCTGAAACTTCTTATTGTTCTACCTCTCTCCTGAATCATAATAATTCAGGGTTTCCTCTTGAATGTGTTTGTCTTTGCCTGATCATTGCTTCCTTGTCATAGAAATGTTTGCATTGGAAAAGATCTTCAGATCTTTGAGTTCAAACATGACCCCAACACTGCCACGGCCACCACTAAACCATGTCCTCAAGTGTCACATCCACACATCTTTTAAATCCCTCCAGGGATGATGACTCAACCACTTCCCTGAGAAGCCTCTTCCAATGCTTGACAACCCTTTCCATGAATAAATTTTTCCTAATATCAGATCTAGAGCTCCCTTGATGCAACTTGAGGCCATTTCCAACACAAAGCAGAAAGAAATCATCTAAGTAACAAACACTCAGTAAGTAACCCTGGAACAGCTGAAAAACAAATCCAAGGCACAGAAAACGACACTGTCCCCGAGAAGGATGCCCTATTTTTATAGTTATATTGCTTCATAAAACACCCCCTGAGCCTGGGGCATGTTTAAACTCCAATGTCAGGCTTTTCCCATTTCCTGGCCCAGTTTTTTGTGATTTACTCCATTATGTACTTCTACATGAACCCTACTGGTGAATACTGCATGGCAACCTCTGTCTAATAACCCCTTTGGCTGCGTCTCTGGATTGCTCTGACTTATCCTCAACTTCGTGCCTCCTTGAATTCTAGTTTGCTTTTGGTGTCATCAGACAATGAGCTCCACAGAGGAGGCTTTGGCACAGCTGTGCCAAGCCAGTGCCATTCAGTTGGCTCTTGACAGCTTTACTGCAAAGGCTTGAGAAGGCTTCAAAAAGCCAGCAGTCAGAGCTCAGTCCAAGTGAAGGGCTGCCAAAGTCCACAC